CCTGAATGTACCTACAGCTATAGAATATGTTACATGTGCATATATTACTTCCTGAATGTACCTAGTTATAGGATAGGTTACATGTGCATATATTACTTCCTGAATGTACCTAGTTATAGGATAGGTTACATGTGGATATATTACTTCCTGAATGTACCTACAGTTATAGAATACGTTACATGTGCATATATTACTTCCTGAATGTATCTACAGTTATAGAATACGTTACATGTGCATATATTACTTCCTGAATATATCTATAGTTATAGAATACGTTACATGTGCATATATTACTTCCTGAATGTACTTAGTTATAGAATACGTTACATGTACATATATTACTTCCTGAATGTACCTACAGTTATAGAATACGTTACATGTGCATATATTACTTCCTGAATGTATCTACAGTTATAGAATACGTTACATGTGCATATATTACTTCCTGAATATATCTATAGTTATAGAATACGTTACATGTGCATATATTACTTCCTGAATGTACTTAGTTATAGAATACGTTACATGTACATATATTACTTCCTGAATGTACCTACAGTTATAGAATACGTTACATGTGCATATATTACTTCCTGAATGTATCTACAGTTATAGAATATGTCACATGTGCATATATTACTTCCTGAATGTACCTAGTTAAAGGAAAGGTTACATGTGCATGCATTACTTCCTGAATGTACCTACAATTATAGGATAAGTTACATGTGTATGCATTACTTCCTGAATGTTTGGTTTGGAAGGAAGTTTAACTAGGGATAAGTGATCATACAGTTGAAGTCGGAAGTTTACATACACCTTAGCCAAATACATTTAAAGTCAGTTTTTCACAATTCCTGACTTTTAATCCTAGTAAAAATGCCCTGTCTTAGGTCAGTTAGGATCACCACTTTATTTTAAGAATGTGAAATGTCAGAAGAGAGAATGATTTATTTAAGCTTTTATTTATTTAATCACATTCCCAGTAGGTCAGAAGTTTACATACACTCAATTAGTATTTGGTAGCATTGCCTTTAAATTGTTTAACTTGGGTCAAACGTTTCGTGTAGCCTTCCACAAGCATCCCACAATAAGTTGGGTGAATTTTGGCCCATTCCTCCTGACAGAGCTGGTGTAACTGAGTCAGGTTTGTAGGCCTCCTTGCTCGCACACGCTTTTTCAGTTCTGCCCACACATTTTCTATAGGATTGAGGTCAGGGCTTTGTGATGGCCACTCCAATACCTTGACTTTGTTGTCCTCAAGCCATTATGCTTGGGGTCATTGTCCATTTGGAAGACCCATTTGCGACCAAGCTTTAAGTTCCTGACTGATGTCTTGAGATGTTGCTTCAATATATCCACATCATTTTCCTTCCTCATGATGCCATCTATTTTGTGAAGTGCACCAGTCCCTCCTGCAGCAAAGCACCCCCACAGCATGATGCTGCCACCCCCGTGCTTCACGGTTGGGATGGTGTTCTTCGGCTTGCAAGCGACCCCCTTTTTCCTCCAAACATAACAATGGTCATTTTGGCCAAACAGTTCTATTTTTGTTTCATCAGACCAGAGGACATTTCTCCAAAAAGTGCAGTTGTAAACCGTAGTCTGGCTTTTTTTATGGCGGTTTTGGAGCAGTGGCTTCTTCCTTGCTGAGCAGCCTTTCAGGTTATGTTGATATAGGACTCGTTTTACTGTGGATATAGATACTTTTGTACCTGTTTCCTCCAGCATCTTCACAAGGTCCTTTGCTGTTGTTCTGGGACTGATTTGCACTTTTCGCACCAAAGTACGTTCATCTCTAGGAGACAGAACGCGTCTCCTTCCTGAGCGGTATGACAGCTGCATGATCCCATAGTGTTTATACTTGCGTACTATTGTTTGTACAGATGAATGTGGTACCTTCAGGCGTTTGGAAATTGCTCCCAAGGATGAACCAGACTTGTGGAGGTCTACAAAAAAAAATCTGAGGTCTTGGCTGATTTCTTTTGATTTTCCCATGATGTCAAGCAAAGAGGCACTGTGTTTGAAGGTAGGCCTTGAAATATATCCACAGGTACACCTCCAATTGACTCAAATGATGTCAATTAGCCTATCAGAAGCTTCTAAAGCCATGACATCATTTTCTGGAATTTTCCAAGCTGTTTAAAGGCACAGTCAACTTAGTGTATGTAAACTTCTGACCCACTGGAATTGTGATACAGTGAATTATAAGTGAAATAATCTGTCTGTAAACAATTGTTGGAAATATTACTTGTGTCATGCACAAAGTAGATGTCCTAACCGACTTGCCAAAACTATAGTTTGTTAACAAGAAATGTGTGGAGTGGTTGAAAAACGAGTTTTAATGACTCCAACCTAAGTGTATGTAAAATTCCGACTTCAACTGTATATAGCCAGTCTGTTTGTGCCAGTCTGTTGTTTGTGCCATCATGCCAAATCCATGGCTTGACAATGACAACAATGGAGTTGGCAAGAGCACAAACAGATCTGGGACCAAGCTATAGTAGGAGACAGCAGATCTGGGACTATGAAGATGTTCTAATGGAACTGTGAAAGTGTTCTAATGGAACTGTGAAGATGTTCTAATGGAACTGTGAAGGTGTTCTAATGGAACTGTGAAGATGTTCTAATGGAACTGTGAAAGTGTTCTAATGGAACTGTGGAAATGTTCAAATGGAACTGTGAAGGTGTCCTAATGGAACTGTGAAAGTGTTCAAATGGAACTGTGAAAGTATTCTAATGGTACTGTGAAGATGTTCAAATGGAACTGTGAAGGTGTTCTAATGGAGCTGTGAAAGTGTTCTAATGGTACTGTGAAGATGTTCAAATGGAACTGTGAAGGTGTTCTAATGGAGCTGTGAAAGTGTTCAAATGGAACTGTGAAGCTGTTCTAATGGTACTGTGAAAGTATTCTAATGGAACTGTGAAAGTGTTCTAATGGAACTGTGAAAATGTTCAAATGGAACTGTGAAGGTGTTCTAATGGAACTGTGAAGCTGTTCTAATGGTACTGTGAAGTTGTTCTAATGGAACTGTGAAAGTGTTCTAATTGAACTTTGAAGGTGTTCTAATGGAACTGTGAAGTTGTTCTAATGGAACTGTGAAGGTGTTCTAATGGAACTGTGAAAGTGTTCTAATGGAACTGTGAAAGTGTTCTAATTGAACTTTGAAGGTGTTCTAATGGAACTGTGAATGTGTTCTAATGGAACTGTGAAAGTGTTCTAATGGAACTGTGAAGGTTTTCTAATGGAACTGTGAAGGTGTCTAATGGAACTGTGAAAGTGTTCTAATGGAACTGTGAAAGTGTTCTAATGGAACTGTGAAGATGTTCTAATGGAACTGTGAAGGTGTTCTAATGGAACTGTGAAGCTGTTCTAATGGAACTGTGAAAGTGTTCTAATGGAACTGTGAAGCTGTTCTAATGGAACTGTGAAGGTGTTCTAATGGAACTGTGAGAACTGTGAAGGTGTTCTAATGGAACTGTGAGAACTGTGAAGGTGTTCTAATGGAACTGTGAAAGTGTTCTAATGGGACTGAAGGGAAATACAACTCTTCCAACCAACAGCACAATGTGGCATATTTGCTCTTCTTCGTTCTGAAAAATGGTTTCTGTTGTACTTTGAGGGATATTTGTATTCAAATGTTTAAACAGATCAACTGTGTTGTATAATTTAGTTTTCTTCCAGTTTATAACACAGATTGAATATCTGTCATTAACCAGGTTTCCATCCAACCTTTCTAAGTGAGAACAGTACCTGTCGGATAACAAAATGTCAGACAGGCCTGATGGAAACAGCTAATGTGTTGGTAGGCTAAACTTGCCAAATGTCGACAAAACATGCTAGACAAGGTGTCTTTCCCACTACAAAGTAACAAAGAATTGATCCATTCAAGCAACTGAATCTTCTCATTGTACTTGTATTAATCAAAACCAGCCCAAAACAAAATGATTCTTCCTGATGTAACCGGTGCGAAATGGATAGCTAGCCAGCGGTGTTTCAATCAGTGATGTCACTCGTGCTGAGACCGTGTAGTCGCTTCCCTTTCCCAGCAAGGGGCCGCGGCTTTTGTGGAGCGATAGGTAACGATGCTTCATGGGCGACTACTGGCAATGTGTTCAGAGGATCCCTGGTTCGGGCCAAGGACAGGGACAGAAGCAATACGGTTACACTGACAAGATCATTGGTGTAATGTTCCTCAACAAGAGGAAATTCTAAACATTGATCTGTACAATAACTTGGATTATGTCTTTGACTGGTTGCTTTTGTGAATGCAACAAGTCACTACAGGCTTCATTATTCATTTTATGTCAATGAGCTTAACTTTGATGTGGTATACTTTTTCTAGAACTTGTCCATCTCTCTCTCTCTCTCTTACTTGCGGCATGTCCGTTGTGAAAATGTGCAAGAAAAGTGAGAAGGTGAAGAAAACACACACAAGCCAAAACCGTCTGACGTTATGTAAAACGTATGACTTTATTCCAGATGTTACTGCCGGTCCCCGTTGCAAATTTTTTTTTGCTTTCCAGAAACTTCGTCTTTTTACAGACAAACTGGTTGGCTGATGCGTACACACAGACATCAACCTGTTTAAATCGGATACGTTCACATTGGATGAGTTAAGCTTAGCACTGGCCCAGTAAATGTGTGGTAGAAATCCTTTATCGAAAAAGATCAACCACAGAATAAGCATAACATTCTCCACCCCAAAATCCCCCCCCCCCCCGCAAACAGTGTTTGACACAATATCCCTGAAAAACAATACACTATTGTCAACACTCAGCACAGACACGACGGCCGTGTTTAAAGAGGCAGCCCTATTCTGATCAATCAGATATTTTGCCAATAATTGGGCTGCCTGTGCTACAATCTGGATTCTGAACAGTAGATCCACTGTAGACCATTTTTAACACATTGAAATCACAGTAGGGGGTTAGAAACCATCACGCCCGCTCCATACCTGCATCCCAGTTCCCTATATATATATAGTGCACTACTTTCGACCAGAGCCCCATATATAGGGAATAGGGTGCCATTTGGGACGCTCGAAAAGGCTACTTAAGCTCTCCACAGTCTGCGACGGTGATCCTCTTGGAGGTGCGCCCAGAACGGGATCCGAACGACTCCACTTTCCTGATCACGTCCAGTCCCTCGGTCACACTGCCAAACACAACATGCTTGCCATCCAGCCTGAGAGGAAGAAGAAATGAAGAGGTTTATTATCATAAAACGGTCTGGCTAAGAACGGTGTTCATAAAGCGTCTCAGACTAGGACTGCTGATCTAACATCAGCCCCCCCCCCCCCCCCCCCCCAGACACTTTATGACTATGGGCTAGAGCTGGGCAATAAGGAAGAGAATCCACAGCACGATAAATTGACTGATTTAACACAGTGATGAATAGAACGAGACATCTGTTTAATGTGCACCTCAGTTACTTAGGTACTGAACTGCTACTTTGAATGTTGCAGCTGTTAAAATTGTCCAAACTAAACAGACTCATTTCAAAACTTCACATTTCTATCCTATAGTTAACGATATCAGTAAAATGCCTTCGATAAGTGGTCGGTGTCCATCATTTTCAGTTTATCGTCCCAGATCTACTATGGGCCATAGTTTGTCTTCAAAGGTCTGTCTGTCTGTACGTACCACACTGTCTTGAAAAGGTCTGTCTGTCTGTACGTACCACACTGTCTTGAAAAGGTCTGTCTGTCTGTACGTACCACACTGTCTTGAAAAGGTCTGTCTGTCTGTACGTACCACACTGTCTTGAAAAGGTCTGTCTGTCTGTACGTACCACACTGTCTTGAAAAGGTCTGTCTGTCTGTACGTACCACACTGTCTTGAAAAGGTCTGTCTGTCTGTACGTACCACACTGTCTTGAAAGGTCTGTCTGTCTGTACGTACCACACTGTGTTGAAAGGTCTGTCTGTACGTACCACACTGTGTAAGAAAGGTCTGTCTGTACGTACCACACTGTCTTGAAAGGTCTGTCTGTCTGTACGTACCACACTGTCTTGAAAAGGTCTGTCTGTCTGTACGTACCACACTGTGTTGAAAGGTCTGTCTGTACGTACCACACTGTGTAAGAAAGGTCTGTCTGTACGTACCACACTGTCTTGAAAGGTCTGTCTGTCTGTACGTACCACACTGTCTTGAAAAGGTCTGTCTGTCTATACGTACCACACTGTCTTGAAAGGTCTGTCTGTCTGTACGTACCACACTGTCTTGAAAGGTTTGTCTGTCTGTCTGTACGTACCACACTGTCTTGAAAGGTCTGTCTGTCTGTCTGTACGTACCACACTGTCTTGAAAAGGTCTGTCTGTCTGTCTGTACGTACCACACTGTCTTGAAAAGGTCTGTCTGTCTGTATGTACCACACTGTCTTGAAAAGGTCTGTCTGTCTGTACGTACCACACTGTCTTGAAAGGTCTGTCTGTCTGTACGTACCACACTGTCTTGAAAAGGTCTGTCTGTACGTACCACACTGTCTTGAAAAGGTCTGTCTGTCTGTACGTACCACACTGTCTTGAAAAGGTCTGTCTGTCTGTACGTACCACACTGTCTTGAAAGGTCTGTCTATACGTACCACACTGTGTTGAAAGGTCTGTCTGTACGTACCACACTGTCTTGAAAAGGTCTGTCTGTCTGTACGTACCACACTGTCTTGAAAAGGTCTGTCTGTCTGTACGTACCACACTGTCTTGAAAGGTCTGTCTATACGTACCACACTGTCTTGAAAGGTATTTCTGTCTGTACGTACCACACTGTCTTGAAAGGTCTGTCTGTACCACACTGTCTTGAAAGGTCTGTCTGTACGTACCACACTGTGTTGAAAGGTCTGTCTGTACGTACCACACTGTCTTGAAAGGTCTGTCTGTACGTACCACACTGTCTTGAAAAGGTCTGTCTGTCTGTACGTACCACACTGTCTTGAAAGGTCTGTCTGTCTGTACGTACCACACTGTCTTCAAAGGTCTGTCTGTCTGTACGTACCACACTGTCTTGAAAAGGTCTGTCTGTACGTACCACACTGTCTTGAAAGGTCTGTCTGTCTGTACGTACCACACTGTCTTGAAAAGGTCTGTCTGTCTGTACGTACCACACTGTTGTCCAAACGAACAGACTTCAAACTTCACATTTCTATCCTATAGTTAACGATATCAGTAAAATGCCTTCGATAAGTGGTCGGTGTCCATCATTTTCAGTTTATCGTCCCAGTTCTAATATGGGCCATGGTTTGTCTTAAAAGGTCTGTCTGTCTGTCTGTACGTACCACACTGTCTTCAAAGGTCTGTCTGTCTGTACGTACCACACTGTCTTGAAAAGGTCTGTCTGTCTGTACGTACCACACTGTCTTGAAAAGGTCTGTCTGTCTGTACGTACCACACTGTCTTGAAAGGTCTGTCTGTACGTACCACACTGTCTTGAAAAGGTCTGTCTGTCTGTACGTACCACACTGTGTTCAAAGGTCTGTCTGTCTGTACGTACCACACTGTCTTGAAAAGGTCTGTCTGTCTGTACGTACCACACTGTCTTGAAAGGTCTGTCTGTACGTACCACACTGTCTTGAAAGGTCTGTCTGTCTGTACGTACCACACTGTGTTGAAAGGTCTGTCTGTACGTACCACACTGTCTTGAAAGGTCTGTCTGTACGTACCACACTGTGTTGAAAGGTCTGTCTGTACGTACCACACTGTGTTGAAAGGTCTGTCTGTCTGTACGTACCACACTGTGTTCAAAGGTCTGTCTGTCTGTACGTACCACACTGTCTTGAAAAGGTCTGTCTGTCTGTACGTACCACACTGTCTTGAAAGGTCTGTCTGTACGTACCACACTGTCTTGAAAGGTCTGTCTGTCTGTACGTACCACACTGTGTTGAAAGGTCTGTCTGTACGTACCACACTGTCTTGAAAGGTCTGTCTGTCTGTACGTACCACACTGACTTGAAAAGGTCTGTCTGTCTGTACGTACCACACTGTCTTGAAAAGGTCTGTCTGTCTGTACGTACCACACTGTCTTGAAAGGTCTGTCTGTACGTACCACACTGTCTTGAAAGGTCTGTCTGTACGTACCACACTGTGTTGAAAGGTCTGTCTGTCTGTACGTACCACACTGTGTTGAAAGGTCTGTCTGTCTGTACGTACCACACTGTCTTCAAAGGTCTGTCTGTCTGTACGTACCACACTGTCTTGAAAAGGTCTGTCTGTCTGTACGTACCACACTGTCTTGAAAAGGTCTGTCTGTCTGTACGTACCACACTGTCTTGAAAGGTCTGTCTGTACGTACCACACTGTCTTGAAAAGGTCTGTCTGTCTGTACGTACCACACTGTGTTCAAAGGTCTGTCTGTCTGTACGTACCACACTGTCTTGAAAAGGTCTGTCTGTCTGTACGTACCACACTGTCTTGAAAGGTCTGTCTGTACGTACCACACTGTCTTGAAAGGTCTGTCTGTCTGTACGTACCACACTGTGTTGAAATGTCTGTCTGTACGTACCACACTGTCTTGAAAGGTCTGTCTGTACGTACCACACTGTGTTGAAAGGTCTGTCTGTACGTACCACACTGTGTTGAAAGGTCTGTCTGTCTGTACGTACCACACTGTGTTCAAAGGTCTGTCTGTCTGTACGTACCACACTGTCTTGAAAAGGTCTGTCTGTCTGTACGTACCACACTGTCTTGAAAGGTCTGTCTGTACGTACCACACTGTCTTGAAAGGTCTGTCTGTCTGTACGTACCACACTGTGTTGAAAGGTCTGTCTGTACGTACCACACTGTCTTGAAAGGTCTGTCTGTCTGTACGTACCACACTGACTTGAAAAGGTCTGTCTGTCTGTACGTACCACACTGTCTTGAAAAGGTCTGTCTGTCTGTACGTACCACACTGTCTTGAAAGGTCTGTCTGTACGTACCACACTGTCTTGAAAGGTCTGTCTGTACGTACCACACTGTGTTGAAAGGTCTGTCTGTACGTACCACACTGTGTTGAAAGGTCTGTCTGTCTGTACGTACCACACTGTCTTGAAAAGGTCTCTCTGTCTGTACGTACCACACTGTCTTGAAAAGGTCTGTCTGTCTGTACGTACCACACTGTCTTCAAAGGTCTGTCTGTCTGTACGTACCACACTGTCTTGAAAAGGTCTGTGTCTGTACATACCACACTGTCTTCAAAGGTCTGTCTGTCTGTACGTACCACACTGTCTTCAAAGGTCTGTCTGTCTGTCCCACACTGTCTTCAAAGGTCTGTCTGTCTGTCTGTACGTACCACACTGTCTTCAAAGGTCTGTCTGTCTGTAAGTACCACACTGTCTTGAAAGGTCTGTCTGTCTGTACGTACCACACTGTCTTGAAAAGGTCTGTCTGTCTGTACGTACCACACTGTCTTCAAAGGTCTGTCTGTCTGTCTGTCTGTAAGTACCACACTGTCTTGAAAGGTCTGTCTGTCTGTACGTACCACACTGTCTTCAAAGGTCTGTCTGTCTGTACGTACAACACTGTCTTGAAAAGGTCTGTCTGTCTGTACGTACCACACTGTCTTCAAAGGTCTGTCTGTCTGTAAGTACCACACTGTCTTGAAAGGTCTGTCTGTCTGTACGTACCATCCTGTCTTGAAAAGGTCTGTCTGTACGTACCACACTGTCTTCAAAGGTCTGTCTGTACGTACCACACTGTCTTCAAAGGTCTGTCTGTCTGTCTGTACGTACCACACTGTCTTCAAAGGTCTGTCTGTCTGTCTGTACGTACCACACTGTCTTCAAAGGTTTGTCTGTCTGTACGTACCACACTGTCTTCAAAGGTCTGTCTGTCTGTACGTACCACACTGTCTTCAAAGGTCTGTCTGTCTGTACGTACCACACTGTCTTCAAAGGTCTGACTGTCTGTACGTACCACACTGTCTTGAAAAGGTCTGTCTGTCTGTACGTACCACACTGTCTTGAAAGGTCTGTCTGTCTGTCTGTACGTACCACACTGTCTTGAAAGGTCTGTCTGTCTGTACGTACCACACTGTCTTGAAAAGGTCTGTCTGTCTGTACGTACCACACTGTCTTCAAAGGTCTGTCTGTACGTACCACACTATCTTGAAAGGTCTGTCTGTCTGTCTGTACGTACCACACTGTCTTGAAAGGTCTGTCTGTCTGTCTGCACGTACCACACTGTCTTGAAAAGGTCTGTCTGTCTGTACGTACCACACTGTCTTGAAAAGGTCTGTCTGTACGTACCACACTGTCTTGAAAGGTGTCTGTCTGTCTGTACGTACCACACTGTCTTGAAAGGTCTGTCTGTCTGTACGTACCACACTGTCTTGAAAGGTCTGTCTGTCTGTACGTACCACACTGTCTTCAAAGGTCTGTCTGTCTGTACGTACAACACTGTCTTCAAAGGTCTGTCTGTCTGTACGTACCACACTGTCTTCAAAGGTCTGTCTGTACGTACCACACTGTCTTCAAAGGTCTGTCTGTCTTTCTGTACGTACCACACTGTCTTCAAAGGTCTGTCTGTCTGTCTGTACGTACCACACTGTCTTCAAAGGTCTGTCTGTCTGTCTGTACGTACCACACTGTCTTCAAAGGTCTGTCTGTACGTACCACACTGTCTTCAAAGGTCTGTCTGTCTGTCTGTACGTACCACACTGTCTTCAAAGGTCTGTGTCTGTCTGTACGTACCACACTGTCTTCAAAGGTCTGTCTGTCTGTACGTACCACACTGTCTTGAAAAGGTCTGTCTGTCTGTACGTACCACACTGTCTTGAAAAGGTATGTCTGTCTGTACCTACCACACTGTCTTGAAAAGGTCTGTCTGTCTGTACGTACCACACTGTCTTGAAAAGGTCTGTCTGTCTGTACGTACCACACTGTCTTGAAAAGGTATGTCTGTCTGTACGTACCACACTGTCTTGAAAGGTCTGTCTGTCTGTCTGTACGTACCACACTGTCTTGAAAGGTCTGTCTGTCTGTACGTACCACACTGTCTTGAAAAGGTCTGTCTGTCTGTACGTACCACACTGTCTTCAAAGGTCTGTCTGTACGTACCACACTATCTTGAAAGGTCTGTCTGTCTGTCTGTACGTACCACACTGTCTTGAAAGGTCTGTCTGTCTGTCTGCACGTACCACACTGTCTTGAAAAGGTCTGTCTGTCTGTACGTACCACACTGTCTTGAAAAGGTCTGTCTGTACGTACCACACTGTCTTGAAAGGTGTCTGTCTGTCTGTACGTACCACACTGTCTTGAAAGGTCTGTCTGTCTGTACGTACCACACTGTCTTGAAAGGTCTGTCTGTCTGTACGTACCACACTGTCTTCAAAGGTCTGTCTGTCTGTACGTACAACACTGTCTTCAAAGGTCTGTCTGTCTGTACGTACCACACTGTCTTCAAAGGTCTGTCTGTACGTACCACACTGTCTTCAAAGGTCTGTCTGTCTTTCTGTACGTACCACACTGTCTTCAAAGGTCTGTCTGTCTGTCTGTACGTACCACACTGTCTTCAAAGGTCTGTCTGTCTGTCTGTACGTACCACACTGTCTTCAAAGGTCTGTCTGTACGTACCACACTGTCTTCAAAGGTCTGTCTGTCTGTCTGTACGTACCACACTGTCTTCAAAGGTCTGTGTCTGTCTGTACGTACCACACTGTCTTCAAAGGTCTGTCTGTCTGTACGTACCACACTGTCTTGAAAAGGTCTGTCTGTCTGTACGTACCACACTGTCTTGAAAAGGTATGTCTGTCTGTACCTACCACACTGTCTTGAAAAGGTCTGTCTGTCTGTACGTACCACACTGTCTTGAAAAGGTCTGTCTGTCTGTACGTACCACACTGTCTTGAAAAGGTATGTCTGTCTGTACCTACCACACTGTCTTGAAAAGGTCTGTCTGTCTGTACGTACCACACTGTCTTGAAAAGGTCTGTCTGTCTGTACGTACCACACTGTCTTGAAAGGTCTGTCTGTCTGTCTGTACGTACCACACTGTCTTGAAAGGTCTGTCTGTCTGTCTGCACGTACCACACTGTCTTGAAAAGGTCTGTCTGTCTGTACGTACCACACTGTCTTGAAAAGGTCTGTCTGTACGTACCACACTGTCTTGAAAGGTGTCTGTCTGTCTGTACGTACCACACTGTCTTGAAAGGTCTGTCTGTCTGTACGTACCACACTGTCTTCAAAGGTCTGTCTGTCTGTAAGTACCACACTGTCTTGAAAGGTCTGTCTGTACGTACCACACTGTCTTCAAAGGTCTGTCTGTCTCTCTGTACGTACCACACTGTCTTCAAAGGTCTGTCTGTCTGTCTGTACGTACCACACTGTCTTCAAAGGTCTGTCTGTACGTACCACACTGTCTTCAAAGGTCTGTCTGTCTTTCTGTACGTACCACACTGTCTTCAAAGGTCTGTCTGTCTGTCTGTACGTACCACACTGTCTTCAAAGGTCTGTCTGTACGTACCACACTGTCTTCAAAGGTCTGTCTGTCTGTACGTACCACACTGTCTTGAAAAGGTCTGTGTCTGTACGTACCACACTGTCTTGAAAAGGTCTGTCTGTCTGTACGTACCACACTGTCTTGAAAGGTCTGTCTGTCTGTACGTACCACACTGTCTTCAAAGGTCTGTCTGTCTGTACGTACCACACTGTCTTCAAAGGTCTGTCTGTCTGTCTGTACGTACCACACTGTCTTCAAAGGTCTGTCTGTCTGTCTGTACGTACCATACTGTCTTCAAAGGTCTGTCTGTCTGTACGTACCACACTGTCTTCAAAGGTCTGTCTGTCTGTACGTACCACACTGTCTTGAAAGGTCGGTCTGTCTGTCTGTACGTACCACTCGGTCTTGTCGGTGCAGATGAAGAACTGAGAGCCGTTGGTGTTGGGCCCAGCGTTGGCCATTGACAGAATACCTAAATGTACAAAGAAACAGCACATTACATTACGTACCTAGACCCTAAGTGATGCCATGAATTCCATTACGTACCTAGACCCTAAGTGATGCCAGGCATTCCATTACATACCTAGACCCTAAGTGATGCCAGGCATTCCATTACGTACCTAGACCCTAAGTGATGCCAGGCATTCCATTACGTACCTAGACCCTAAGTGATGCCAGGCATTCCATTACGTACCTAGACCCTAAGTGATGCCGGGCATTCCATTACGTACCTAGACCCTAAGTGATGCCGGGCATTCCATTACGTACCTAGACCCTAAGTGATGCCAGGCATTCCATTACGTACCTAGACCCTAAGTGATGCCAGGCATTCCATTACGTACCTAGACCCTAAGTGATGCCAGGCATTCCATTACGTACCTAGACCCTAAGTGATGCCAGGCATTCCATTACGTACCTAGACCCTAAGTGATGCCAGGCATTCCATTACGTACCTAGACCCTAAGTGATGCCGGGCATTCCATTACGTACCTAGACCCTAAGTGATGCCAGGCATTCCATTACGTACCTAGACCCTAAGTGATGCCGGGCATTCCATTACGTACCTAGACCCTAAGTGATGCCAGGCATTCCATTACGTACCTAGACCCTAAGTGATGCCAGGCAAGTTAGCGGAGGTACTGCACAGCTGAAGACAAGCCGAGTTTCAGGAGGGTTACTATGACAATATTAAGTTAGTTATCCATCTAAAACAGCGCTGTTCAATTCCGGTCCTGGAGGGCCGAAACACTTCTGGTTTTTGTTTCTACCTGGTAGTTAATTGCACTCACCTGGGGTCCCAGGTCTGAATCAGCCCCTGATTAGAAGGAGAGGATGAAAACCAGAAGTGGCTCTCCAGGACCAGGATTGGACAGCCCTGATCTAAAACACCAGAAGTGGCTCTCCAGGACCAGGATTGGACAGCCCTGATCTAAAACACCAGAAGTGGCCCTCCAGGACCAGGATTGGACAGCCCTGATCTAAAACACCAGAAGTGGCTCTCCATGGACTCTCCATGAAATAGGTTATCATCCTCCTAGACCACATTGGGTTCGTTATGCTTTTAGGCTCTCATTTAATTATTGGCAGTGCAATGCTGCCACCTTAAGGTTCAGAGGAAATATGACCACTTCAAATATTTTTTTGCAAAGACATCTAAGCAGACAGAATGAATAATTACCAGGTCCTGTGTGCTTCAGCTTGAAGTTCTCGTCTTCAAATTTGGTTCCATAGATAGACTTCCCTCCTGTTCCATTGTGATTGGTAAAGTCTCCCCCCTATAGAGCTCAATAGACACACATTTAGGTGGGGTCGGGGACAGGCGTGCATGTGTGAGAAAGAAATGTCATGCTTTAACCCAATAATGGTAAAAAGATCATTGGGATGTATAATTTCCTAAATTAAAAACCAAAAGAAAAGCCACTTAATGATATAACCCTAAACCGTCATTAAGCATCATTGTCCTGAGTGGCGCCCATGAGTCTCCCGGTCGCGGCCGGCGCAGTGGTCTAAGGCACTGCATCGCAGTGCTAACTGTGCCACTAGATATCCTGGTTCGAATCCAGGCTCTGTCGCAGCCGGCCGCGACCGGGAGACTCATGGGCGGCGCACAATTGGCCCAGCGTCGTCCAGGGTAGGGGAGGGAATGGCCGGCAGGGATGTAGCTCAGTTGATAGAGCATGGCGTTTGCAACGCCAGGGTTGTGGGTTCGATTCCCACGGGGGGGCAGTATAAAAAAAATATGTATTCACTAACTGTAAGTCGCTCTGGATAAGAGCGTCTGCTAAATGACTAAAATGTAAATGTAAGCAGACCTACCTGGCACATAAACTGAGGGATGACCCTGTGGAAGACGGATCCCTTGTAGCCAAAGCCATGTTCTCCTGTGCACAGGGCTCTGAAGTTCTCTGAGAGGGACAAAAAAAGGTTTCGTTTACCCATCACAACAGGATGTAGTCTATGAATACAAAGTATGATGTAACATTATTGCATTTTGAATCGTTGTTTTCCCTATACCTGCAGTTTTTGGCACCACATCAGCATTCAGCTGCAAAATAAAAAAAATAGCATTGGTTATGATATAGTCCAGTCAGTTGAAAAATAACATTGGTTATGATATAGTCCAGTCAGTTGAAAAATAGCATTGGTTATGATATAGGGGCGGCAGGTAGCTTAGTGGTTAAGAGCGTTGTGCCAGTAACCGGAAGGTCGCTGGTTCTAATCCCCGAGCCGACAAGGTTAACAATCTGTCGATGTGCCCTTGAGCAAGGCACTTAACCCTAATTGTTCCTGTAAGTCGCTCTGGATAAGAGCGTCTGCTAAATGACTAAAATGTAAAATATAGCCTAGTCAGTTGCATGCCTGCAGCATGTTAATTCATTGTGTTGTTGTAACATTAACTCCAACTGAGTTTTGGTCACAAGTTGCAGCATGTTGTAAAGTTGCCTACTGGTGATACCGATGGCTAGACTACTCGTTATCTCAAAAGGTGAGGCAAAAAAACAATCAGAATGCACATTTGTATAGCTACGTAACCCTCGGATCAAGTTCCTAGTCAAGACAACTGAACTCACCTCGAAGGTTACTCTTCCGAGAGACTGGTTGTCTGCAGCAATGTCAAAGTAGACAACAGGGGTTAGTGGCTGCCGGGGCAGTAGAATACATCCGAGCGGCGGTAAACGCCAACGAACATCCCGAAATGAGCTTGACCCGACTCGATAAAGCGGTAAGTAGCATTTTAACGCCACGTGTTAACTCAATATGAACTTGAGATAAAGAGTGAACTATCACGCTAGGTGCTTACATATATAGCGGCCCGCAAGGAGGAAGTTTCAGAAGAATATCAAGGGCAGTGTGGTGTTTAGGGCAATCAGAGTTGCGCTGTGCTGCGCATTACTGTTATCTGGGAATCAGCATTGAGCTGTGCTGCGCATTTATGTTGACTGGGAATTAGCGCTGTGCTGCAGGTATAGGTAACTGCATACTTGGAGTGTGTCTGAAAGTGGCCGTTGCAAAAGAAGTGGGTGGATCAACAGCGATGGGTGTAACATCAGTGGGTGGATCAACAGAAATGGGTGTAACATAAAAGCTCCATGATTGGTTAGACCTGGCATAGCCAGGTGCACTGCGGGTCAGCTTAACGTTTACATAGCAGGTTAGGAGAATTAACGTAGCAGGTTAGGAGAATTAACGTAGCAGGTTAGGAGAATTAACGTAGCAGGTTAGGAGAATTAACGTGGCAGGTTAGGAGAACTAACGTAGCATGTTAGGAGAGTTCATGCGGCAGGTTAGGAGAATTAACGTGGCAGGTTAGGAGAATTAACGTGGCAGGTTAAGAGAACTAACGTAGCAGGTTAGGAGAATTAACGCGGCAGGTTAGGAGAATTAACGTGGCAGGTTAAGAGAATTAGCGTAGCAGGTTAGGAGAATTAGCGTAGCAGGTTAGGTGAATTAACGTAGCAGGTTAGGATAATTAGCGTAGCAGGTTAGGAGAATTAGCGTAGCAGGTTAGGAGAATTAACGTAGCAGGTTAGGAGAATTAACGTGGCAGGTTAGGAGAACTAACGTAGCATGTTAGGAGAGTTCATGCGGCAGGTTAGGAGAATTAACGTGGCAGGTTAGGAGAATTAACGTGGCAGGTTAAGAGAACTAACGTAGCAGGTTAAGAGAACTAACGTAGCAGGTTAGGAGAATTAACGCGGCAGGTTAGGAGAATTAACGTGGCAGGTTAAGAGAATTAGCGTAGCAGGTTAGGAGAATTAGCGTAGCAGGTTAGGTGAATTAACGTAGCAGGTTAGGAGAATTAGCGTAGCAGGTTAGGAGAATTAGCGTAGTAGGTTAGGATAATTAACGTAGCAGGTTAGGATAATTAGCGTAGCAGGTTAGGAGAATTAACGTAGCAGGTTAGGAGAATTAACGTGGCAGGTTAGGAGAATTAACGTAGCAGGTTAGGAGAATTAACGTAGCAGGTTAGGAGAATTAACGTGGCAGGTTAGGAGAATTAACGTGGCAGGTTAGGAGAATTAACGTGGCAGGTTAGGAGAATTAACGTGGCAGGTTGGGAGAATGAGGTTAAGGTTATGAAAAGGGTTAGGCTTAGCTAAAATGCTAGTTGTCAACACTTGACTCATCGTGCAGCCCAATCAGCCACGCAAAACGGTCTTGAGTGGCAACAAATCTGCCCAATTAGCTGATTCGCTTTCCATACACCCACTTCTGCTGATCCGCCCACTTCTGTTGACACGCTCACTTTCAGACACACTCCATGTATGCAGTTACCCGTGACTCTTGCGCTGTGCTGCGTATTAAAGTTCATTGTCACGTGCACAAATACAGTGAAATGCCTTTCTTGCAAGCTCTTTCCCAACAATGCATTAATCAATATCCGTAGTAAAATACATCAAATAAAGTAGAACAAAAACACACAAACAATGGAAATGAGAAGAACAGGAGAAAGCAAGTGAGCTACAGTGAGGGAAAAAAGTATTTGATCCCCTGCTGATTTTGTACGTTTGCCCACTGACAAAGACATGATCAGTCTATAATTTTAATGGTAGGTTTATTTGAACAGTGAGAGACACAATAACAACAACAAAAATTCAGAAAAACGCATGTCAAAAATGTTATAAATTGATTTGCATTTTAATGAGGGAAATAAGTATTTGACCCCGTCTCAATCAGAAAGATTTCTGGCTCCCATGTGTCTTTTATACAGGTAACGAGCTGAGATTAGGAGCACACTCTTAAAGGGAGTGGTCCTAATTTGACTTTATGTTTTTGTTTTACCCCATATGTAACTCTGTGTTGTTGTTTTTATCGCACTGCTTTGCTTTATCTTGGCCAGGTCGCAGCTGTAAATGAGAACTTGTTCTCAACTGGCTTACCTGGTTAAATAAAGGTGAAATGTTTTTTTAATAAAATAAAAAAAATATATATATATATCCAGATTTGTCCGTCGGACTGCCAGATGGTGAAGCGTGATTAATCACTCCAGAGAACGTTTCCACTGCTCTAGAGTCCAATGGCGGTGAGCTTTACACCACTCCATCCGGCATTGCGCATGGTCATCTTAGGCTTGTGTGCGGCTGCTCGGCCATGGAAACCCATTTCATGAAGCTACCAATGAACAGTTATTGTGCTGATGTTGCTTCCAGAGGCAGTTTGGAACTCGGTAGTGAGTGTTGCAACCAAGGACAGATGATTTTTTTCCGAGCTATGCGCTTCAGCACTCGGCGGTCCTGTTCTGTGAGCTTGTGTGGCCTACGACTTCGCGGCTGAGCCACTTCACAATAACGGCAGGGGCAGCTATAGCAGGGTAGAAATTTCACAAACTGACTTTTTGAAAAGGTGGCATCCTATGACAGTGCCACATTGAAATTACTGGGCTCTTCAGTAAGGCCATTCTACTGCCAATGTTTGTCTATGGAGATTGCATGGCGGTGTGCTCGATTTTATACACCTGTCAGCAACGGGTGTGGCTGAAATAGCCAAATCCACTAATTTGAAGGGGTGTCCACATACTTTTGTATATACAGTATAGTGTATATATAGGGTCAGTTCCAGGGTCAGTGCCAATACCATATTTACAATGTATTTGGTAAATACAGAACAATAATAGACAAGAACAGCTCAAGGACAGAACTAATTACATTTTTTTTTAAAGGCACACGTAGCCTACATATCAATACATACACACAAACTATCTAGGTCAAATAGGGGAGAGGTGTTGTGCCGTGAGGTGTTGCTTTATCTGTTTTTTGAAACCAGGTTTGCTGTTTATTTGAGCAATATGAGATTTTTCATTTTTATTTTACCTTTATTTAACTAGGCAAGTCAGTTAAGAACAAATTCTTATTTACGATGACGGCCTACACCGGCCAAACCCAGACGACGCTGGGCCAATTGTGCGCCGCCAAATGGGACTCCCAATCCCAGCCGGTTGTGATACAGCCTGGAATCGAACCAGGGGGTCTGTATTGACGCCTCAAGCACTGAGATGCAGCGCCTTAGACCGCTGCGCCACTCGGGAGTTCCATGCAATAATGGCTCTATATAATACTGTACGCTTTCTTGAGTTTGTTCTGGATTTGGGGACTGTGAAAAGACCCCTGGTGGCATGTCTGGTGGGGTAAGTGTGTGTGTCAGAGCTGTGTGTAAGTTGACTATGCAAACAATTTGGGATTTTCAACACATTACTGTTTCTTATAAAAAGAAGAAGTGATGCAGTCAGTCTCTCCTCAACTCTTAGCCAAGAGAGACTGGCATGCATAGTATTAATATTAGCCCTCTGATTACAATGAAGAGCAAGACGTGCCGCTCTGTTCTGGGCCAGCTGCAGCTTAACTAGGTCTTTCCTTGCAGCACTGGACCACGCGACTGGACAATAATCAAGATTAGACAAAACTAGAGCCTGCAGAACTTGCTTTTTGGAGTGTGGTGTCAAACAAGTAGAGCATCTCTTTATTACGGACAGACCTCTCCCCATCTTTACAACCATTGAATCTATATGTTTTGACCATGATAGTTTACAATCTAAGGTAACGCCAAGTAATTTAGTCTCCTCAACTTGTTCAATAGCCACACCAACCAACCACATTCATTACCAGATTCAGCTGAGGTCTAGAACTTAGGGAATGATTTGTACCAAATACAATGCTCTTAGTTTTAAAGATGTTCATGACCAGTTTATTAGTGGCCACCCATTCCAAATCAGACTGCAACTCTTTGTTAAGGGTTTCGGTGACTTCATTAGCTGTGGTTGCTGATGTGTATATGGTTGAATCATCAGCATACATGGACACACAGGCTTTGTTTAATGCCCGTGGCAGGTCATTGGTAAAAATAGCAAAAAGAGTAGAGGGCCTAGAGAGCTGCCCTGTGGTACACCACACTTTACATGTTTGACATTAGAGAAGCTTCTATTAAAGAAAACTCTTTGAGTTCTATTAGATAGATAGCTCTGAATCCACGATATGGCAGAGGTTGAAAAGCCATAACACATATGTTTTTTCAACAACAGGTTATGGCCAATAATATCAAAGGCTGCACTGAAATCTAACAGTACAGCTCCCACAATATTCTTATTATCATTTTCTTTCAACCAATCATCAGTCATTTGTGTCAGTGCAGTACACGTTGAGTGCTCTTCCCTATAAGCATGTTAAAAGTCTGTTGTTAATTTGCTAACAGAGAAATAGCATTGTATTTGGTCAAACACAATTTTTTCCAACAGTTTGCTAAGAGGTGGCAGCAAGCTTATAGGTCTACTGTTAGAACCAGTAAAGGCCGGTTTACCATTCTTGGGTAGCGGAATGACTTTGGCTTCCCTCCAGGCCTGAGGACAAAGACTTTCCTCTAGGCTCAGATTAAAGATATGACAGATAGGAGTGGCTATAGAGTCAGCTACCATCCTCAGTAGCTTTCTATCTAAGTTGTCAATGCCAGGAGGTTTGTCATTATAGAACGATAACAAGAATTTGTCCACCTCTCCCACACTAACTTTACAAAATTAAAACTTGCAATGCTTATCTTTCATTATTTGTTTTTTTTATGCATGAATACGATGGCTCACTGTTCATCAAGTTTGCCCACTTTGCCAATGAAGTAATCATTAAAATAATTGGCAACATCAAATAGTTTTGTGATGAATAAGCCATCTGATTTGATGAAAGATGGAGTTGAATTTGGCTTTCTGCCCATAATTTCATTTAAAGTACTCCAAAGTTTTTTTCCATCATTCTTTATATCATTGATCTTGGCTTCATAATACAGTTTAGTCACATCATTTCTCAATTTGCAGTAAGTCAGCCAGTCAGATGTGCAGCCAGACTTATTAGCCACTCCTTTTGCCCCGTCTCTTTCAACCATACACATTTTCAATT